ATTTTTAACGAGCCGAAAAGAATGCACGTCACACCTCTGTTTATCAATTTGCACTGGCTACCAGTAGCTGCTCTCATAAAGTTCAAGACATTAATATTTGCCTACAAAACTACCACTGGCTCTGAACCCCTTTACCTAAATTCATTACTTCAGACTTATGTGCCTCTAGAAGCGTGTGTTCTGCAAGTGAACAGCGCTTTATTGTGCCATCTCAAAGCGGCACAAAATCACTTTCACTGACTTTTAAATTAAATGTTCCCTCTTGGTGGAATAACCTGCCCAACTCAATCCCAGCAGCGGAGTCCTTAGCCATCTTGAAGAATCGGCTAAAAACACATTTCTTTCATTTTTATTTGACCCTCTAACTCTAGCACTCTATTCTAATTCTATTCTTTATAAAAAAGAACTTGCCCCTTTTAGACTTGCACTCTATTTATTTATGCTTGTTTTCTTTAAAAATATGGCTCTGAACCCCTTTACCTAAATTCATTACTTCAGACTTATGTGCCTCTAGAAGCGTGTGTTCTGCAAGTGAACAGCGCTTTATTGTGCCATCTCAAAGCGGCACAAAATCACTTTCACTGACTTTTAAATTAAATGTTCCCTCTTGGTGGAATAACCTGCCCAACTCAATCCCAGCAGCGGAGTCCTTAGCCATCTTGAAGAATCGGCTAAAAACACATTTCTTTCATTTTTATTTGACCCTCTAACTCTAGCACTCTATTCTAATTCTATTCTTTATAAAAAAGAACTTGCCCCTTTTAGACTTGCACTCTATTTATTTATGCTTGTTTTCTTTAAAAATAAATAAATAACACTAGCGTCTTTAATCTTTTTGTATTTCTATTTGTTTTCTTTTTATTTATTATTCAATTAACAAAAGCAAAAAAAGGCCTCTAACACTAGCTTGCTCTATTCTTTTTGTATTCTATCTGTTTTCTTTTTATTATGATTTTTTAAAAACCCTTGCTATGTGTACTGCATAAGCTAACTGAGACTTGTTATAGCACTTGCATATCATTGCTCTTTTGCTGATTTTGATTGCTTCGATTGTCCTCATTTGTAAGTCGCTTTGGATAAAAGCGTCTGCTAAATGTCCAAATGTAAATGTTCTGTATGGTTGGTACGTAGTTGTCCAGGTGTTCTTGGCCATTGCTAGGGTGTTGCTATGCAGTTTGGTGGCTGCTTGCTATGTGGTTGCTAGGATGTTACTATGTGGTTGTGAAGGTGTTCTATATGGTTGGTATGCAGTTGTCCAGGTGTTCTGGGTGGTTGCTAAGGTGTTCTGGTAGTAGCTAGGGCCTTGCTATGCAGTTACTAAAGTATTCTGGGTGGTTGCTACTAGGGTGTTGCTATGTGGTTACTATGAAGTGAACTACGGGTATGCAGTTGTCCAGGTGTTCTGAGTTGTTGCTAGGTTGTTTTGGTAGTTGCTAGGGCGTTGTTATGCCGTTACTAGAGTATTCTGAGTGGTTGCTACTAGGGTGTTGCTATGTGGTTACTATGATGTTACTATGTGGTTGTGAGGGTGTTCTGTGTGGTTGATATGCAGTTGTCCAGGTGTTCTGGGTGGTTGCTAAGGTGTTCTGATGGTTGCTATGCAGTTGGGTGGCTGCTACTAGGGTGTTGCTATGTGGTTGCTAGGATGTTGCTTGAGTGAACTACGGCTCTGTGAAGTAAATGCTGCTCCATCTGAAAGCATGTGAACAATAGCAACATATTTCATAGTATTTAAGCCGTGATAAAGGCATTGCATTATAAATATACTTTATTATAATGAAAATTATAATAATAAGAACTCAGATAAACTGTATATTGCCATAGTCGTGTGTTTATTAGTCACGTTGAATAAATGAAAGCAGTTGAATCTTCTGTTTATTCAGCTTCCGCTATAGGGATTTCCTGGGTTTGTTCTGCGAGGCGTATTTGGAGTTTCAGCGCGAGAGCGCCCTCTGGCCTTCGGATGGAGATTTACTGCTGATCACAGAACCGTGCTTCACTGACAAGATGCGCAAGAAAATCGCAGCCTTTGCCTAATCACAATTGCAATTTCATTTCTATTTATCGTGCAGCCCTAGTATTTAAGGTGGTTACTACTAGGGTGTTGCTATGTGGTAGCTAGGATGTTGCTATGCAGTTGTTGGGTGTTCTGGATGGTTGTTATGGAGTTTTTCAAATGTTCTGTGTCGTTGCTAGGGTGTTCTGGGTGGTTAGTATGCAGTTGTTCAAGTTTTCTGGGTGGTTGTTAGGGAGTTGCTATGCAGTTGCTAGGGTGTTCTGGGTGGTTGCTAGGGTGTCCTCTCTCATAAATGATCTTTCTGTGCAGTCACCAGTTGTATGTGAATCATTGTGTTTCAAGCTTCATTACAGTCATCATTTTTTCATGTAATTCATTTGTGTATGTCTCTATGTATGTGTGTGTGTGTGCTCAGTTTGACCCCGAGCTGTCTTCACGGCAGTTTGGAGTGGAGTTGTCTCGTTTAACGAGCGATGAGAGAGCCGTCCCCCTGGTGGTGGAGAAGCTGATCAACTACATCGAGATGCACGGCCTGTACACCGAGGGCATCTACAGGAAGTCTGGATCCACCAATAAAATCAAAGAACTCAAGCAGGGGCTGGACACCGGTGAGCTACATGTCTATTTATGAAAACAATGAATTTAGTCAAGTAGCAACTCTCACTGACAGCGCCGCATGTTTGCCTTCATCGCAGATGCGAACAGCGTGAATTTAGACGACTACAACATCCATGTGATTGCCAGTGTGCTGAAGCAGTGGCTGCGTGACCTTCCCAACCCCCTCATGACCTTTGAACTCTACGAGGAGTTTCTCAGGGCTATGGGTAAGAGCATATAATGGATTCTTAAGAATAAAACCGCTTATTTTCATACATTTTTGTCCCCCAAAACACTTAGGAATGTTCTTGTTTTCTCAGAAAAACTCAAAATCTTAAAAAAATTATCTTAAAAATCATCATAAATAACTTGGGATAAACTCCAACTTATCTTAAATCTCCATTGGTATGAATTTATTGGGTTATTTAAAATGAAAATCGTCATCATTCACTCACCCTCATGTTATTCCAAACCTGTATGAGTTTCTTTCTTCTGCTAAACACAAAAGCAGATATTATGAAGAATGTTGGTAACCAATCAGTTGACGGTAGCCATTGACTCATATGGTATGGAAAAAAATATCATGGTAGTAAATGGCTACCGTCACCTATCCCTTTAAGAAGATTGTTGTGAATCCTGTTCTCTTACTATTTTCTGCAAAATACTCAAATTTGGGCTGATTTACGTGGATATAATGGAGTGTGTGTTGTCATTTTGGCTGGTGTAGGTCTGCAGGATAAAGGTGAGGTGGTTCAGGGGGTTTATTCGGTCATCGATCAGCTCAGCCGAACTCACCTGAGCACACTGGAGAGACTCATATTCCACCTGGTCCGGTGAGACGATAGCCTGGATGCTTTTACTCAATGCCTGCAGCAACAGCAGAAAGCCTGCAGTAATTTTAGCATGGTCAAGTTTATGTTGGTTTGTTTCAGGATCTCATTCCAGGAGGAGACGAACCGCATGTCTGCAAACGCACTGGCCATCGTGTTTGCACCCTGCATACTGCGCTGTCCCGACACCACCGACCCGTTACAGAGCGTCCGGGACATCGGCAAGACCACCGCGTAAGACACGCTATATACTTCTATATTACCATTCAATAACATTTTTTATTTTTTTTTAAAAAAGGTAATTGAAACTTTGACTCACAATTCAGATTTCCCCCCCCTCACAATTCTGAAGAAAAGTCAGAATTATGAGAGGAAAAAGTAACAATTCCCCTTTATATTTTTATTCTGTGGCAGAAAAAAAACATAATTGTGAGATGTAAACTCAATTCCAAGAAAAAAGAATTGAGAGATGTAAACTCAGAATTCTGAGAAAAAAGATCAAAATTGTGAGACGTAAATTCAGAATTCTGTGGGAAAAAGAATTAAAAATTGTGAGAAGTAAACTCAGAATTCTGTGAAATTTTTTTTTTTAATTGTGAGAGATAAACTCAGAATTCTGAGAAAAAACTAAATCAGAATTTAGAGATGTAAACTCAGAATTCTGTGGGGGGAAAAAAATTGTGAGAAGTAAATTCAGAATTCTGAGAAAAAATTAAAAATCGTGAGAAGTACATTCAGAATTATGCGGGGGAAATATAAAAATTTTAAAAAAGTCAACATTGCAAGTAAACTCAGAATTCAGAGAAAAATAGTCAGAATTGCGAGACAAATTCAGAATTCTGAGGGGGAAAAAATTGAGACAAGTGTAAACGTCAGAATTCCAAAACGTAAAATCACAATTATTAGTTTACATCTTTCAAATGCCAGATATAAGCTGTGAGAAAAATGATAAGGAGTCACAATTACCTTTCTTATATTTCTATTCCTCGGCAGAAATAAGCTTCCATTGTATACTGCCTTCAATTTTATGTTTTTTGTAAAAAAAATTGTGAGAAGTAAATTCAGAATTCTGAGAAAAAATTAAAAATCGTGAGAAGTAAATTCAGAATTATGCGGGGGAAATATAAAAATTTTAAAAAAGTCAACATTGCAAGTAAACTCAGAATTCAGAGAAAAATAGTCAGAATTGCGAGACAAATTCAGAATTCTGAGGGGGAAAAAATTGAGACAAGTGTAAACGTCAGAATTCCAAAACGTAAAATCACAATTATTAGTTTACATCTTTCAAATGCCAGATATAAGCTGTGAGAAAAATGATAAGGAGTCACAATTACCTTTCTTATATTTCTATTCCTCGGCAGAAATAAGCTTCCATTGTATACTGCCTTCAATTTTATGTTTTTTGTAAAACAGCATGCAACAATAAATGCCGGCCAGTTACCCCTATGGTTATTTAGCATTGTTCAATGCAATTTTCAGTATGCGTGTTTTAACTTTCTCTTGTCAGGTGTGTGGAGCTGATCATCTGCGAGCAGATGAGGAAATATAAAGCCCGTCTGAAGGACATCAACACACTGGAGTTTGCCGAGAACAAAGCCAAGAGTCGGCTGACGCACATCCGGAGATCTCTGGTGAGTGATTCGAGCCCCAGACCGACCCAGGACCTGCGCCCTGATGCTGCCACACTCATGACCCCGCCCCCATTGTGAAGCCGCACTTTCCATGAATGAGCTACATACTAAAGTGTCCCGTGAAATCCCATGTTCCCCATGTATTGACAACTGTTGAGTATTTTAGGTAACTTGATGGTTTTGTCAACCATTCACATTTGATGCCTTGATATATATTATTATTATTATTTAATCTATTTATTTTTAATTAATGTGACACTGATAGCTTAATTTATGCTATATCTGTAATGTTGATATGTTTTTTAACCATTCACATTTGATGGCTTAATTTGGTCTAAAACAAAAAAAAAAATATATATATATATATATATATATACACATACAGTGGGTACGGA